CCATGAAATAAACAGTAGTCTAAAAAATCAGTGAATATAAACAAATGTATTTAAAAAATAACATATTGGTTAATTAAGCATTTCTCTTTTTCACCCTTTTGATACTAATCTAGTAAGTCTCAAGATTTCACTTACTTGAATCCCCATCTTCCCCACGTCTTGCAGTTCCAACAAAGAAAGCCGAGCCCTCATCTGACACCAGAACAGAATGCTGCCCCTCATGCCCCACTGACAGATGTACAATGCGTGGAGACTTAGTAATGGTCAACTCTGGCCACCTTCCAGTTGGAGCGCTTGGAGTATTGGGGCCATTCACTATACCTCCACCACTTGCACCTGCAGCAGCACTTGATCCTGCACCACCTGATCCACCTGCACTTGTGCCAGCTACTCCACTGGCACTGACAATGGCACCTCCAGCCCCACTGCTGCTGGCAGCTGCACTACTACTGCTGCCCTGCTTCATACCCACAGAAGATGCTTTCCCACTGTAATATACCTAAAAAACACAGCCAAGAGGACCAGGATTATTATTCAATAAAGAATTTTATTCAAGTAAACTCTTTACTTATTATTTATCTAATTATCCCCTTTCATAAATTTTGTGAATATATCATCATCACTTGCTAGTTTGCTTAATCTTTCTCACCTTATCTTACCCAAAATCTTTGAACCATAAGAAGTATTTAAAAAATTATACAGTTGTTAAATCTTATGTCAATATCCCCATTGTGCATTTCATATCTTTTTATTGCTAAAAATCATACACATGCCACTTATGTATGTTAATGTCTGTGCTACAAAGATATGAACTAAATCTTACCCTGCCACCAACTGTTCTAACAAGAGTGAATTCTTTTCCTGCTGCAACCATAAGTATATCCTCATCCAGACCTGCTGACAATGTTGACTGTTGTTCTGGACCACCAAAAACCTATTAAGAATCATTCATAAATGTTTAATGGAATTTGATAAAACATATAATTCAATATTACTCACACCACACCCCAGCTGCATATCATAAGGACAGCTCTGCAATCAAAACAATATATGCAAAGTAATCTAGTGACAATCTACAGGAGCTGGTTTCATTTGCAGCAAAGTATATAATCACATTATAAAAATAGGGTTCAAACGAATAAAAAAACACACAAAAAAACGAGTCATACCTGAATACACCTGATTGCCAAACTCAGCCCCAGCTCATTGACAAGTGGCATTGGTTTCACTAAAGGATTGTATGTCCTCACCACAAAACCATCCTAAAAAATTCATAAATTTCATTATTATTCATCCAATATAAAGCTGATAACTATAAACAGAAAATCAAATGATAAATTATAAAAAAATTTGAGCGGCCAGACTTACCTCTCTGTCAGGTGAAATGTGGCCAATGTTAATTCCGTCACTAAAGGGCAACCCACGACACCATCCGGGGGAAGAACACTGATACACTTCCGACACCTTGAGCACCTCACGGTCAATAACAACCAGCTCTCCGTTGCTTGCTTCTGGTCGATAGAAGACATCACCCTGTAAGGATAAAATGTACTTTATTAAAAACTCTTCATCACAATCTAATAATTTTTCAACTGAGCTGTCTTTGATGTGGATTATAAAGTGACTTATTTCCTATCTAAATCTCTTAAAATTTCAGTAGATGGAGAAGATTGAGCAGATTGAAATGTCAACAGGAACTGTTATGCCTCTAGTACATATTCTGTTTAAAATGAAAAACAAAGGAAAACTTTAAGTACATGATATAAAAATGGACAAATACCTACAAACAATAATGATTTCTAAAAAAGAAAAATGGTTAAAGAAAGGTTCTTATTCACACAAATGTAATACATAAAAAACAACAACAACAACAACACTCACATGTGCAAAGCCTAGCCATCCCTTCTGCTTTGGGTAGAAATCTGGACGGTGAATGTAGACATGTCCTTTCATGGTTCCCCCAAATCCTGAGCCAATCTTAAAAAGGCCATGGCCATTATGTATATATAAATAGTGGCCATCACAAGTCATTGTGCTCTCTTCTTTGGACTCTTCACCATCTAGAAATAGGAGGCAGTACTTAATAAGTGACAAAAATAATGTAAGTAAGTAAAGGTATTACTAACCTTCCTTGCTGAACTTATATCATATTGAGGTATTAGCTTCAGTTCAATGTACATATCTACAAGACTGCCTGATCATTACTAGGAGTAAATCATAAAAGAATAAAACAATTTTTTTCAAAAGTAAACTCATTCCTAACCTGTCATTATTTTTACAGAAAACTTGTCAATAAGAGCTGATTTAGGAACTCCACAGGTGAGCCAGTCAGGTCTAGATGTCTTTCCTAGGAGCACTGCATGGACACTCCGTTGAAGTAGCGTTAGAATGACTGGAACCTGTTCAGAGAAGATATGGACTCACATTTCCCGTCTAATAGTAACAAAACTTCACTTTCTAATATTGAACAATCACAACTTCAAAACATGTAAAGAAAATC